GAGGGTTCTAGAAATGCAGATTAATTAAATGCAGCATAGACAGAAATGCTTCTGATGCATTTTTAGAACTTTATTTGATCAATAAACATCTAAAGAACACAGAGGAGCCACCACAGCTCTAACAGAGCTGGACTTCACCCACCAAGAATACATTAGCTAATGTCTTACAGACTTTACTCTTCTGAATATTGCTGAGGAAAATAACTGTCATTTCTGTTTTCATTAAGGAAAATGAACAAAAAACTCTGGAGAACTCCTGAGCTGCTCAGTCCTGCCCAAAAAGCAATCCAGAAGCTCTGCAGAGTGCTACACAGGACATGTGGTTCAGCTGATCCCTTATATGCATGAAATTTAGGGAAAAACACTGGTACATTTTTTGACAAGCTTATAAGATCATGATTACTTTCAAAACTAAATTGCATTGAAAGAGGGACAATATTTTGCCTTTTTGAAAAATGTTAAGTCATGCTTCAATAACAGTATGCATGAATTTTGCTCCCTTTTAACAGGCCTGGTTGCAAACTGATACCTTTAATTAATAAATACAGAAAGTTCTGCTATTGTTCAAACGGTGTTTCAGCAGCTTTCTGAGAACTGTGTGTGAATCTCAGAAATAAGACACTATTGACAAGAGGTAGATATTGCTGAGACTTTTATAGATAATCCTTTTTTATTATTTTCAGAAACAAAGGTTCATTTCTTATCAAAGGGGAAAAGCCAATATAGCTGATAAATTTGCCTTCACCATTGATAGCAACAAGCCTTCATAAGTAAGCTGCAATAAACCCCTCCATGAGGATTCACCTGAAGGAGAAGGCATAATGTCAATGTCAGTCTAAAGCAAAAATCTCATTTCCATTTTGATTTGCAGCATTTCCCAGTTGATTCCTTTCTATAAGGCTCTTAAACATTTTTGATGCTAATTAAACAAGATAAGTCAAAGCCTATTGCCCATGTAGTGAAGACATTTGTTCTAATTAAAAAAAAAAACAAAACAAAACAAAAACAAACAAATGCAGATGTTTTCCTTGTAAGTTAATTTCTGAAACACTATTAGCTTCACCTCTCAAAGATGAAAACAGAAAGGGGATGGGTATTTTGTTCAAGGCTTCACAGACACAGAAGCATGCACACATCTCTGCATGCACAGCAATACTCCAACACAAGACATATCTAACCCTACACCAAACCAGGAAATAAAAGTAGGAATATAATTTATTTTATATGCATTTCTATCCGTATTTCTGCCCTTGAGGTTTTTCCTGGCCACATTAGCAACTGGACTGAAGCAATTGATTTTTTACTTCTTGTGAGAAAGCAAGACAAAAACCCCAGTTTGGTTTTTTAATTTGTTTTCAGAATGAGAAAAGGGACATGAGCATTTCTCCAACCAGAACGAAATCTTAGAGAAATCTATGCATCTAAAGTTCTATGTTTGTCTCATTCCCACTTTCTCCTTCCAGTTCAACTCAATAACATTTTGTATTAAACACAATGGTCTCAATGATCAAGATATTCCCAATACATCTCAAGAGGCTAACGCTAATTAAAGCTGATCAAAAGACTCAAGAGTTTGAAATACAGAAAAAACAGACTGAACTGTGACAAGAGACTACTTGATAGTTTGATTCTATTTAGATCAGATGACACGTGTAGCATTATTCAATCATTAAGTGCTGTCTGATTGCTGATATTTTTTGCTTCACCTTAAAATTAGAATCAAACACTATATATAAGGAATTAAATTATGTCTTCAATTAAGCAAAACTAGTTTTAAAACCAAGACTGGAAATACATACAGGTTATACAAACATTCTTCAGCAATAACACAGGTACTACTTATTTAGAGTCGCAGCAGCAGTTATTGACCAGAAAATCTTTCCAAGTCCTTCCCAGATCTATAGTCTATGCCTGTAAAATTACCAGGTAGTTTATCTTCAGAAAGCTGCGTAGAAACTGCAAGCTTTACCATATGTAAGAAAAATTGCTTCTTATATGCTACCAATGATGAGGATGAAAAAAGGTAAAAGTACAGGAATAGTTTTGACAAGAGATAAAGACGAAAACAGACAAGATAGCTGTAATAAGGTAAGCAGAACACATCCATACTAAAGAGGACAACAGAAATTATGTACTTGCTCAGAAGCAAAAGCAATTTGAGGAAGGAGAGACAGATCATCCTCAAAACAGCAGTAGCAACATCCGCTCCATAGGGCAAGATGTATTAAAAAATCATGAAATCAAGCAAAGTAGGAAAGGTGAAAGCTTGATCAAGTCTATATAAGCATGAAAAGGCAAACTTTATGGGGAAGAGAGAAACAATCTGGTGAAATAATTCATGAGGAAGAAAGGAAGAAGATACAGCATGTGTATATAAAAAATGAGGAGTATACTGAGGAACAGAGCAGAAAATTTGGTAGAAAAAGTGAAAAATTATGTTTTTGAAGAATATGACTCTGGAGAAATAGAAGAGGTAGGCAACTGTAATACACTACCAAATACCTATTCATGCTTTTCTATTCTCCTCTCTACAGAGAATACAAGTTATTACAGTCCCATATAATACAGTCTCATCTCTTTCACTCAGGACACTTTTAGCTCCAGGGGAACTGTGCCACGTGCTCATCAAACATCTTAGCCAAAAGGAAAATCTGGGTGGGCTCAAGGTGCAAGTGACAGGTGAGAATGACAGAGCCAAATTGGTTTGGACACACCTAAATGAAATCATCTTTCCAGAGAGAAACCACTCTGAGGCAAAAAGAAGGTACAATCATGCCACATGATCTGTAACCGAGTTTGCTGCCCACGATTACCACATTGATTGGGACCCTGCACAGTTCTTGCCCTGCAGAAACTGAAGGCAGAAAATACGTAAGCCCACTTGACTCTACTCTCTTGAAGAATGTCCAAACCTGCAATATAAGCAAACACAAAGAGACACTTCTATTGTGGGAAACTTCAGCAGCCAATGGCACACTGTTTAATCCTTCTGTAGGTGCCATCAGACAAAATAGTAAGAAGCACAGCTGCATGTAGCAGTTACTTATATTGATCAGAAAACACCACACATGGCAGCTCATTTGCACCATCTGCTGCAGAAATGTCAGTCAAGGGGAGCACTGCAGACACCTGGGGGTGTCCACACTGAGAAATCACTTAGAAGAGGAAAGAAACTCTAGCAGGGGAAAAAAAAAAAAAAATCTATAAAAAATTAATAGCTTATGCTGTCAAAAGGACTAAAGCTTCTGAGGAAAAGCAGGAATTGGCACAAGAGCAGCCAGCCTGAGTTTTAGTGAATGTCCTAAACTCCCCCTGCAGTCAGGTAGCCCCACTCACACCTTTTGATGCTTAAGTGTCTGACAAGGGTCCTGATTTTGAAGGTAACAGCAGTTTTCCAGGTTTTTCAGCAGCACAAATGGTTGGTGAAAAGTACAAGGAATATACATCCCATAAACAAACTATCCATCCAACTGAACAAGCCCTAGTAATGGCTGAAATTAAGGATAGCTTCTTCTTTAAAAATTCACAGCAGGAATGGTAACGTTCAGCTGACTATCTATAATGCCTAATTTAGCTGTCACCTAGGAAACATAACTTGCACAGGCTTGGGCAGAGTAGGAGCTCTGCCTTCAGTTTGGAAGACCCTGGGTGAGGTTTACCCCACCTTATGTTACATGTCAGTGTTAGGATGGAACAAACCCTACTTGAGAAATGCCAGTTGAGAATGCCTCAAAACATGGCGACAGGAAGTCCAGACAGCAACATGGAGTCAGCAGAGAAGGAAACAGGAAGAATGACTTTTTAAAGAAGGGAACCTGCACTCTAAGGAAAGGGTTGGTGACTTCAGGCTTTTTTGTGTAAGAAGTATGTTAAAATCCCCTGCACGTTTGGGATAAGGAAAATAAAAATTAAAAGGACAAGCAGTTCCCAAAAAAGGACCAAATATAACAGCTTAATTTAGTATAGGAAGAAATGTGTCCTGCGTTCATCAGAAATAATAGCAGGAGAGATGTGCTGGCCTTGAAACAGCCACTAGAGTAGGTGTACTTAAATCTACTACAGGTAACTTAGCCTTCTCACTTCAAAAAACCTAAACAAACTATATTGATAAATTATGATTATTGTAATCCAGTATTATTAACAAAAATACACCGACTATTATCAAATCTGTATGTTTAGAAAAGATTGCTAGAGCTAACACATTCCTGCCACCCAGATGAATACAGATACAACTAGTGAGTCACTCTCATACATTTTCAGGTTTAAGAATGAAAATTCAGTCTCTTTGTCTGACCAGGCAGAATGGGCTACTTCAGAGAGAGAAAAGGATGGATGGCACTCAAATCTAAATCTCAGATCTTAAGGAAGAATGACAATAATACTTGCCAGGATATTTACCAAGATTGCCAGAAGCAGGGTTAGATCTCAACAGATTTTACAAAGATCAAAGTCAATATTTCAGATGTGACAGTAAATGTACAGAGCCATGCTAATTAGAAGAGGGAAGAAAATATAAGAGTGGACCTAAAAGCATACCAAAGGGATGGGAGGTTGAAAAGAAATAACAAGTAGTTGCACACTGCCCAGACACACAAGCTTTGTCAGAAATTCATCCTGCGAAGGCACATTTCTTTGAAAGTTCTGAAAAAGTAATGAGGGACTGTACAAAACATCATGTTCTGTGTTGAGCCCCCACTCAAATTCAGGTCCATCTGTATCACCTCCCTTTAAATCTGAGAAATACTAATTCTGACCTTTGAATCTATTTTACATAGGACACCAAAGCTTCCCTGCAATTTTAAAAGTCATACAAATTGCAGGCAATCATTTTTTTTTCTGATATCTGTACATTGCAGTTGGAAAAAGAAAAAACAAACACCAGCTATGTACTACTCAGCACGCTTGACATCAGTCTCTCCAGTATCACAGTAAGTACAGAATAGTATTTCCCAGTTTCTGCAGCCTACAGTATTCTTTAAAATCCATGTTAAAAAACTCACCCAGTTTTCAAGCTGACCAAGGCATCTTCAACTCCTTTCTGATTATACTTCGTCATGTAAAGGTGCATATCAGGGTAGTTGTTTCTGATATTCCTCTCTGTGCTTCCATTTGGGACTGTTCCAAATCGAAAAGGAGGTGAATAATCATGTGGCCTTTGAAACTAGAGAGAAAAGGAAAAAGCAAAATGTTTCAGGAATTCTAAAGGTGAAGAAGGGCAATTTCAGGTTGAAAAAAACCAGAAGTGACATAAGCTGCATCAGATTTCTTCTAAGAAAACACAGAAGGTTAATTCAGCTGTATCATACCAAAAAACTGTGTCTTTACACTGACTGAACTTACAGAAACATCTACAATCAAAGTAAAAACAGCTCTATTTTGCCACTCTAATGTGACTTTCTACCATGCATTGTAATATGGCAGGAGAGCAGAAACTGGAGGAGATGCTGGACGATGTTCCTCATCTACCAAAATCTCCTTAGAGAACCCAAACCACGAGCAAACACACAGGTAAAGAGCAATCAAAAGAAAACGGTATTTTGTTGATAGTCATTTCACACTTCCACCTCAGTTGAGATGTTGCGGGTCCCCATGCAAAGAAGCAGAAGGATCATCAGCACTACCCAAGGGGGAGCCTAGCGCCCAGCTCTGGGCGGGCACAGGTGGCTTCGGGAAGCTTGTGAGCAGGCAGGGACAGGGTGAGGGCTGGCTTCCCTGCCACCACCCCAATTCAAGGGGAATGGAAGTTCTCACATCTTCCCCAGGGGCTCAGCAGCTACACCATTTGACAAGCAAAGGGCTTCTGGAGCTCTCACACCTACAATCCTAGTCCTTATTTATTCCTACAGTTTAGACTACAAATTATTTGTTTGAGGGAGAACAGGTTTATTCTACAGTTTTACCCTCTGTATCACTATTGCATCAGCACAGACAAACAAGCCAGGGAATATCTGCAAAGGAATAGCAATAGCTCAGGGCACACTCAGGTTTCAGATTTGGAAATCATTCAGACAATCCCACATAAAATTTTGCTAACAGACCTGAAAATTTTATATGTGCCTTTTCAATATCTCCCTTTAAATACCAAGTGACACTTTGGATTAGGATTAAGCTAAAATGTCTCTTTAAGAAATAAATGAAAAAGGCCAGTCAAGTTAGAGGAACTATTGGCTAATGAGGAAATTCAACTGAGCATTGATAAAAGCAGTCACCCATGAATTCCACGGTAAAATGCACTCTGTTTTTACCGTCGCTTAGAAGAGCAATCTATATAGCCTGTGCTGCAAGAGACAGCTAATATTTATACAGCTGCTGCGTTCTTTGGGCTACATATGTAATATTTCTCTTTCTAAAGTTTGGTCTAAGGGCATCAAGAATTCCCAGAATCCAGTGCCAATTTGCAAAGAGAATACAAATAGGCTTACACAAAAACTAGAAGTATTTTCAATTCCATCAAACATTGACTGTGAAATTACTGCTGCAACAATATTTTCATGTTACAAAATTACAATTAAATGCTTCATTCTAATCAAGCATATTTTGACAAAGTATAAAGGAATGAACTCTACTTTTCTCTATTTGTTTAGCTAACAGATGTCTTACTTTTCTCATTTTCCCTTTTCACAGCTTTACTGCTTAAATTATTACTTTGCTACTACTTTACACATACTAATTGACCCATGCACTAAAATTACACTGTATACTAGTCATAGTTCTTAGTCTGTATCTGCTATCTCCTTTTTTAAGTTTATTATGCAGCACTGAAATAAACGCTGCTCTTAAATATATGTCCAGGGATTCTACTGATACAGATGTAGCTTGCTATTACCTTTATTTAAATCTACAGATAATGAATACCTGAAGTAGTGAGATGGCTTCCAATATCTCCAAATATCTGTATCAATTTTGCCAGTCAATAGAAAATATTTTAACGTCGATTTCAAGACTGTATGCTGTAAAAATTGCTGCTGCTCAGACAGCTTATATTTTCTGGAAATTCAGCAGTGATGAGCATTCTGAAAACTCATTTCCTAATCCTGGGCTACAGCAGGGGAATTGAGGAAACAGGGAAATTAGGGTGGAATATCCTGGTAACTCAGAAATGGAGTTTGCTTCTGAATATTCTCACTTTTCAAGGACATTCATATGAGTTTAAGATGTTGGAAGGAGTTTCCACCCATAGGAACAGTTAAAGGAATTGAGGTATCTGTCCCAAATTGAACATTCATGGAACACAAAAATATTTCTGCAGGAGAGCACAGATTAATTAGAAGAACTAGTTCATTCAAAGATCACAGGGATCACAAGCAGATGAGTAGTTCCAAAGACCACGCACAGACTGGAATTTCTTGGCACAAGACATCCAACCAACAAATTTTAACAGTCACAAGGAGATAATTGTTTTGAAATTATAGTCTGCTACTACTGCCTGCCCACAGACTACTTCTAAAGAAGAAAGAAAGAGTTTTAAATCTTTTTACTAACAGTGCACTCATATCTAAGGTGTCTAAAGTTCTCATCAATAATTTTAAACTTACATTCTCTGAACTGACATGTCATGGAGAAGCATATAGGCTCTGTGATTGCATCAAAGAACTATGTGGCCAGCAGGGGACAAGAAAGAAAAAAGGATCAAGACTCTACACGTGCTCATTTTCCATGAAGCCCCGTGATAGGAAATAAAATATATCATGTCTGCTAGGAAGCAATTCCCTTCCTAGACATTTTCTGAAATGCTATTTTTTTAAAAACCATTAGTAGAATCCTTAAATTGAATGCACAAACCCCATGCTTGAATCATAATTGTGGAAAGAACTACTGTTATTCAGAAGACTAACCAATCCATTCTTGTTTTCCCACGCTCTGCGACCTGCTAGAACTATGTCACATGGCAACAAAACTCCAATGTTTTGCTTTTACTTTGTTTTACCTATATGCCTTAATAAAACTGACAATTTCAGTAAGTCAGTAAAGTGATCTTTCACAAACATTACATACTGACCTAATCTGAAGATTTGCATGCTTGCCTGAAAAGGCTGGTATTCAGAGCAGTTGTTTGTTATAGTTGTGGAGTATTTTAAGAAACTGTGGAAAACATTACTAAAATAGTAGCAAAGAGTAAATATTCTCCCTCTGCTAACACAGATTTTAACAGGAATTATGGCTGGTTTGGAGTGACAGAAAAACACCCATATATGAACTCTCTCCTTTCTTCTTTTACCAGATGGAAAACACTGACAATCTGATTTCTGATCTTTGAAAAATATAGCTATTAGTAATTCCAACACTATTATTATAATCATTAGTTACTGAAATGCAGTTGATATCTATGCCTGACAACCCCCAAAAAGCACTGTAAAGGGCTAATGTTGAAGTGGAGAGATGGATTGGAGTAAGAGGGTCACCCTAACTACCCCATCATCCATGCTGCCTTTTGACCTCAGCCTGCTCTGTTTTCACACAGATGTATCTCTAAGTAACCACAGAACTTGTGACAGTTTACTGCACAAAAATATAAAGCCAAAGTTACAAGAATTCTGTAAATCTTGCCAAAATAAGGAACCTGTAAATGACATAATTAAGGCTTCCTATAAAGGTTGAAGAGAATCCCCTAGACCACATGCACGTGGGGCACTTCTTAAAATGTGACAGTGTGGAGGAATCACAGCAGATAAATGCTTTTCAGGACAATTCCGTCCACTGCTATCTACTCTCTCTTAGTAATCTTGTCTCTCATTACATGAAAAAGTCATAAATGATCTCCAAATAACCAGTGCTCCAAATGTCATCTTTGCTGGGTACTTTTGGACTCATTTTCTGTACCTTTCTGTGAACACAAAGCTCTTAAAAATCTTTTACACACACAAGAATGTCAAAATATAATTTTCTTCTCATTTTCTGAATCATTTGAGTTTATGAACACCCAGCCTTAGTAACTCCAGTACATGCTGTGCCATGTATTTCTGGGTGACAGATGACATGGCATTCGGAAATTCATTAGCAACATTATGAAGGTTGAGGAAACTATCGAGAGGTCTTAAAGTGAAGAAGGGTAAATAGCACATTATCATGTGTTCAGCAAACCTGGTGAACCAGATGCTAGAGCGTAACACATTTCCTGAATAGGAAGACTGCACAGAGAGGGAAGGGTTTTTTCCTGGCTTCTCTTCTCTGTAGCCCATCACACATGGAGCTTGACTGAGAAACCCCAGTACCTCTAATTGGGCATACTTTATTGTATCGACAATACAGCACTGACAAAAGAGCTTGACTCTTCAGTTGTGGCAGAAGGAAAAAGGGGAGAGGGGAAGAATAGTAAACTGATTTACCAGCCCACAAGTTTTTTCAAAAATTTATTGAACTACATATTACTTAAAATTATTTTTACACATACTTCTGTCACTTCCCACTGGCCTTTGCCTATTACCGCTTTGCTTGCAGCAGAAGCCCAAGTCCTCTACTGAACTACAGTAAAATTGTTGCAAATTCCTGAACTGTTCTCCTACAAACAACATTGCAGCAACAAGGCAAAGAGGGGAGAAAACCAATTTAACATGAATCAGATTATATTCTCATAAATTACTCTTAATTATTTGAATTTTTAAAATCTGAGAATCCTCAGGATTGTGAAGGAGGCAAAACCTGTCTATGACAAGAGGAATGTTTTGAAATAGATCATTGCTTTTTTGGACTTCTGACTTATTTAATTTAATCAGAAAAGGCACGGCTCCCCTGATTTATCTCTATATGCTTCAGGCAAAATTTGAACCGTAAAATAAAAACAAAGGTAGCAGATCAAATAAATGATCAGCAGACCACACTAAAACAGATGGTATTTTCCAATTCAAGTATTGTTCTATTTTTATTTTGCTTTTTGTGGAAATAAAATCCTACTTAGCAGAGAGAATAGAAAAATGACAAAAATAAGGAAGTTATTAGCCAAAAGCTACAGAACAAATACTGACATTTTCCCAGCCTATAGGTGAGGGCGGCAAACAGCCAGCAAAGAGAAGAAGATAAGGGTGCACTGGCAGACCTGAATGCTAGTGCTGTGCCAGGTGCAGGCCAAATCCTGCCAAAACCTAGACTTCCCAGGAAAACGCTCTGTACTTTCTCACTAACAGGAGAAAGACATTTATGAAATCCTTTCTTTTTTTTTTCTCAAGAGAAGAATAACTTTTATCTGTCTTTTACTAAGAATATTATCTTGAAATAGAGGTATATTTAACAATCTTTATACTCTCTCAAAGGTTTTGCAATGACACAACTTAATGAAAACAAAACTACTATCATTTTTTGTTTCTCTTTATCTGTCTTTCCTCTAACCATGCTTGCAATTTATGCTTTGATACTTCAGGCGATCAATCAAAAGGCTGGTCATAAAAAGCAGTTAAAACAAAAAACAGACACAAGACTATCTGAGCTGTTGACTTCTTTTGAATAACAATTTGCTTTATTTTCTGCCCTTTGAGAAAAATCCCCTGTGAAGTTCTCCCTTGTGCTATTCTCTATTTAAATATTACTTCTTAATGTCAATATTTAGTTTCATTTTAAAACAACTGGGCACAAACTTGAAAACAGCATGTCCTTCATGTATTTTGTGCATATCCATCACAACAATAATTTTGCACACGGGCTTCAATCCCTCCATGCAACACCACTATTGCACAGCAGTCAGACAAATGAAATAAAAAAGAAGTTATTGCTAGGTTTCTGATTTATAAGACTATTGATTAAAATTCACAAGTACAAACAACTGGGAAGTATACTTTCAGCAGAAGAAAGTTCAGTCAAGCTAGAACAATATAAAAAATATGTGTATGTATTATTTGTCAGTTTGTGTGAAACTCAAGTAGGATTTAAGTGAACTATCAGTGTCTACTGCTCAAAGTGAAATTCTCACTATAGTTCTTGAATTAGGAAAGCATATTCCACAAATAGATCAACATTCTGTGCCTTATCCTATGCAATTTACGTCTTGCTTCAACGTGACATTTTTTCAGGAGCATTAACTGGCTTCTGATAATTATTGGACAGTTTCTGATTTTATGAATATTTTGTCAATTAATATATGATTAATATTCTACACGGAGATGTTCAAGTAATTTTAAATATACCTTCCCTGCTTTCAGACAGACTTTTTCATTTTTTAAGCTTTTATACATTGTTGAAGCATTCCTTTTAATCAAACAGGAATTGATTTCCATTACAAAATAATGCTACTGTTCAATTAATGCAGTTACTTTTGAAAAGGCAACTCAAAGACTTTGGAAACAGTTTGATATTTTCATGCTTTGAGTCTTAGGTTTGTTAGTAAAGGGTTACACTCAGAATGAAATCATCCAGTTTTAGCTTATTACCTTGATTAGTGCTCTTTTAGCACAATGTACAAATTTGTAGAAGGATTATGGACTCTGATCTCTTTGAGCTGAAGACTTACCTTTTTATCACTCAGTCCAGTCACTTGGTCAACAAATTCCTCTTGAATCATAAATGCAGCTAAGTTGGCAGTATAACTGGCCAGGAAAATGACAGCAAAGAAAGCCCAAACCGACACCATGATTTTACTTGTTGTCCCTTTGGGGTTTTGCACAGGCACAGAGTTGTTGAATACCAAGCCCCAGAGTAACCACACTGCCTTTCCAATGGTAAAGGATGGCCCATGGGGATCTGTAATTGCAAAGAACAGTTATTTTAGTTACAGCTAAATTAAACCTTGGTGAGATACTCTACGTCACAACAAGAAACTACTCACAAAGACATGATTTAAAAATATTTCAATACATATTCACTGCACTCCCAATGGAATCACAGGATTTACCACAGGTACTCCCTATTGTAATGACAATAATTTCCATATTTGTAAAAAATAATTCAACATTCTTCTATGTGGCATTTAGTTCAAAAGTTTTAAAATGAAAATAGAAAGCATAGGTTTGGAGGAGAGGTAAACTGGTATGTCTCTTGCAGTAAGGTATGTGCCACAGTATTGCCCCTTTCAGTCTGTTCTGCCAGAGAACATGGAAAATGAAAAACTGTGGGTTTAAGTGTTAATGATTCAATTCTAGTACTTTTCTCATCCAAATTATTTTTGATGATGTCCAATCTTCCAACATTATGCTTTTTGAACTTTATGTAAGCATATTTAAGATCCAAGTGTGTGAATACATCGCCTATTTTTAAACAACTTTGCACTCAAGAGACAGTAAGTCAACAGAAAGGAGCTCCCCAGACAGGCACATACCTTAGAGCAAAGCAGGCTCTGGTTACCTCACGTGTTCAGAGTCAGTTCCATTGCTTCAAATGTGTTGGCATTACAGGTAAAAACCTGTCCCAGCTAATCAATTCTGTAATTTTTGTAATTCCTGTTTTCAGTCAGCTTTTAATTCATCCCAAAGCAAGAAGTGGTCAGCACGATGCCCTCATGCCCTCGTAGTGGCAGAAGTGGATTAGCAATGTTATTATTCACTTAAAAGGCCTGATTTGTAAGGCCCTATGAAAATAAAGGGAATTCTGTCCTTACCCAGCTGTAAGTAAGTACAGTGCACTCATCACATACTGCTCATCATCTAGACTCCCTTTATCCTCTGTGGAGAGAAACTGGCCTGCCCTGACTGTGACTCATTTGACCTTTTTATAAGTATCTATTTTTCAATTAAATGGCAATTCAGACAATAAGCTCTGATGCAGACACCTGTACTATTACCTCCCTCCCTGCCCTCTCCCTTTATCCAAGGGGATGCACATTACAAACTCAGATTTAGTTATCAATTTAATTATATTTTAATAATTTAATTATTATTAAAAGACTAAACTCCAAAGTGAGTATCCTGAATACATGATCTCATTTCAGTAGAAATGCTCTCTAATACAGTGCAAATTTTTCACAATGCAATCAAGCACAACATCTTAGATTATCTTCTTTCTATTCTGCTGAAGTGCTAAGAAGATAGAGCGCAGTAAAATAAACACAATGAAGCTGACTTTTGGTTTATGAAACTGCCTTCCAGAGACATTTAAGATTGAGCTGATACAGGGGTAATATGTATTTTCTGAGCAACGATAAGGAAAGTATACGCCAAGAAAGCAGTCTAAAATTCTGTTTATGCTACTGGAGATTATATTACCATCAAGCTTCATCCTGCCAAAAATGCCTAGGGAAAGAAGTAATCTGCATAAAGATTCTCATGTATTTGAAGCTTCCCATGTTTAAAACGAACAGCAGCTGGATTCATGGCAAGTCTCTAGAGCTAAATTAGGATGGTCTAGTGCCATAACAAGCCTTTGTAGCTGTAAATACACTAAATAATCAATTCTGGCACATGAGGTGGCACAGAAAAGCACAGCCTAGCCCCTAGATCCCCAGTGTCTATATTCACCTTTGATTTCCTCTTCCTAAAGACTGTTTATTTTGGACAGAAGTTACACATTTACCATTTAACTGAAATGATGTTGTCATCTGAACATTACAATAATCTTCTTTTTCAGGGAACAAACCAATCATAATCTAGAATAAACCATTAACTTGTAATAGTCTCCAGAACTCTGTTCACCAAACTGGAAGTTCTCATTATAAAATGAGGCAAGTATGATTTAGAAATTAAAAACAGGCTGCATTCTCAACTGTAAGTAAAGAAAGGGAAGTATGAGGGCATGACAATACATGGGAATCATTCTCAGGTCAAAGTGCTAATAATATACATCTGTAGCTTTCACTAAGAAAAGCAAGGTCTGCATTAAATTTGTTGTGCTGGTATATTTTGAAAATAAAGTTTCTATAACTATGGATGCTACACAGAAAGAAGTGATGCCTTTCTGTCACTGGCCTCATTTCAAGGCTGAGTTAATCAAACATTTATAGGGACTATATAAAATTATACACAATGTAACTGCTATTTTTTCAGATTATCCACCAAACCACACCAGTTTAGATCATTTTCTCTGAGCCAACTGTGAATTCATAAGGGTCAGAAGTCTGTAGAATTTATTCCAATGCTTTTTTAGGCTGGCAGTCTACAACTGATACTGTATACTAACCAAACACTGCCTGAATGCAGCTCTCTGATATCACCTACCCTTCTATATGTCTTCATTCCAATTAATTAAATACAAACATGAGCATATAAGCCCTCAAGAAATCATATTTTAAATGAAGAGCAGTTTCATAGCTGCTTTTACTGCTTTATTCCTATGTTATGTTTATTTTTAAAAGATAGAGTGCAAGGGATGGGAAATACATGATTTTTTTAATAGTTTTAGGGTTGTATAAAGTGGAAAACTTACCTCTCCCTTGTGCTAAGTTCCTGTTATATCCTACAGGACTAAAGTACTCAAATATAAAGACAGCCATGGCGGACACAATGAGAAGCATCACAAACATCATCACCCAGACAGAAGCACTAAAAGGTTCTGCAGCAAAACAGGCAAGAGAAACAGAAACACAGTTCATTAAACCAGTCACAGCACAAGAATTCTAATGTCTTCGGCTAGGCAAGTCCAGTAGCTTTCTTTAAATTAACTTTTACCAACCAAAATGCTAGGAAATAAATAAGTAGCAATATATAAAGAACTGCTGATCGTATATACACACACAAAATTCATAAATTCCAAATCTTAAATGCAAGTTGCAATTCATAACCAAACGCTGCACACTTTTATTTGACAAAGCCTTCACTGACACTGAGTGGCAAATAATTGGTTTGACTCACTGCTTATTCAGTCTACAATCAGGTAGTCCATTTCTATTCATCTTATGTTATACGTTATCAACAGAATGATCCAACCATTAAGACAGTGTTTCTGCAGAGCAAAAGCAATTAAGCATATGTTTAATACATTTGGTAATTCAGTGAAGTAGACTTCTCTCTTGTTTTCTATTCAACAAAAAGTGTTAGGGAAAAAAGCTAAATACTTGCACTCAGGCTAAATTTTTTTGTTTCAGATTTTTTTTCTATGTTCACTTTCATCTACTTGCAATGAGGTTGTTCGTTTTACCAACTGCAAACACATCCTTTTGAAAGTCTCATTCTCATCTAGGACCACATTTTTGAAATCAAAAGGTTTTTAAGGAAAACTGAATATCAGTTTGAAAGACAGAAAAACCATGATTAAGTAAAAGAATTAGGTTGGAACAGAAAATTAAAAGCAGTTACAAACACCAGACTAAGAACCAACTTTTTTGAAAGGATTGGTGACACAAAGTTCTTAAATTTCACCTTGCCCAATCACAAATTCTCTGTCATTTCAAGAGTCCCTGGGGTATAAGGATATATGTAGCAAAGGTTTTAGATGGCAAAGCAATATCTCTTTTTCAGGTCAGCTTATCTGGGGGAATTTTATATTCTAATTTTGGTAGATAATGCAAGTGTGAGTGTGCTTTGAAGTGTGAGGAAAAAAAAATCTGAGTATACTATTTCAAATTAGGACAGAATCAAGCAGCATTTGAAATGACAAGAAATTAGTGTGTTCCAATGCTTTGCCTGTTTTTGAAAGCCCAAGAGGTTCCTCCATCTTAACTTCTTCATTCTTTGAATTTAAATTAAGATTTAAACAACTGAAAATTCTTCCATCATTGCAGGAAACAACTAAGTGAGAGTTGAGGTGTGCTAAACCCAACAGCCCAGTCTGAACCTTTCCAGAGTTACCATGAATAATTCACCCAGAACAAGAATGAAGTGTAATAACTTGGGCCCAAGCACAGAAATCTCCTGAGACCATTTACCTTTGCTACAATTTCTTCAGAAATTTTGAACCAAGAAAAGACTAAATTCCAAATAGTCCCAAGTGATTTTGGATGTGAACTAAAAAGGCAAGGCAGGGAAATTTTAAGTCAAACTGTTAGCTTTCTGTTTTTAAGATAGGGTTAAGGAGCAGTGTGTGTGTATATATATATATATATTTATATTTATACTTTTTTAATATTTTATTTTTAAGAGAGGTTATGAAGTTCTTTCAATTACTATAATTATTTTTTTGAAAGAGAACAGTAAGTTAGCAAAATAACAGAATTTTTAAAAGGCAAAGAAAGACCCATTCAGATGCAAACAGGTAAAGGGCATTATGTAGCCAAATAGACTTGATAACAAATATTCTGTGAATTCACATATTAACTCTTAAATTGGAATTTACATAAAAGTGTCATACAATTTTGACAGCATTCTCATAGAAGAAAGCAAGGCTGATAAAACTCTTATCAAAGGCAATGGTGTAGAAACAGCAATGGTAATTCGTCAAAATCTAAATAAGGCAAAGGGCAAAACAAGCTATAGTGAAAAAGCTATAACCAGTGGTTTAAGCAGAATACTCTAATAATTTAAGCACTCTGGTAATGAGGTAGAGGATTAAAAGAAGCAATAGGAAAATAAAAAGCTATTTACAATAGCAAGCAGTAAAATTGAACAAGTACAAAATAAATTGAATAACAAAGTCAATCTTCCTGTCATATTAGAGATCAAATTACACATTCAGCACTGTTCTTTGATTCTCAAATGACAGAAAGAGAACTTCCCTCAGGCAACCAGCAGGGTTTATAAGAACTTTCAATAAAGCAATGATATGGCAGAAAAATACTAATAGATGACCTACCAGTGTACAATTTCAATGATTGGCAATGGAGAATATTGAGCAATTCAGAAAGATTACTCCACTAACTTCAAGTTTCACCTCCCACCACCAAAACCAATACTTAAATAATACATAAAATAAATAGGGGCATAGATTTCCTATTCCATCAATGACTCCAAATTAGAAAACTGGCCTCATCTATGAACTTTCTCCCTCTTAAAAATATAGAAATTTCTTTTTGAGGTTTCTGTTATTTTGTTTGTTTAAATAAAGCTGAATCAAATCTCCACAGAATCTTTAAAAAAAAAATATTTGTGGATCTAGTATATATGAATTTTGGCATGATATGAAAACATTTTAATGTGGATAAAATTCTCATTTGGAGGAGACACCCAAATCAGAATCAGAACACAGCAGATAATGAGGAAGAGGCTGTCAGCACATCAGTTACTTGTATCTATTGGACACAACCACCAAATGGAAAATCTAGTTCAAAGTCCTGTGTTTGACTACATTCATGGTAACAAATCACAAAAACAGGTATTTCATGAATTGCAATCAAGTACTATTTAGAAAAAAAATAACATTGTATTTGATAGATTTTTTTAAAAATCTTTTAAAAAGATTATGTAAGATTACTCTATTCTTAGACATTCACTTAATTGAAACAAAATCAGTCTATGAATAAATTCAGTTATCTGCCTGATAGTATTTTGCCTGACAAAGCATTTTACTACTATGCACACCTCATCGAAATACACAGTCAATTCCAGCAAAGTGGCAGTTTCATCTACATCTAAAAAGCCAGAACATACTTTGGAGAGCGCAGACCTGATTTACTGGTGTAGTAAATCAAATTTGTTCAAAAGTAATGCTATTATTTTTTGAATTATATGTATACCCAAATAAACCAATAACATTAAGTGCATTTTAGAAATCGAATAATTATGTTGTCGTGAAAAATGCAAAAGCAGCCTCTCTTTTGATGGTAGCTGGAAGCAGGTTTTTAAGAGGTAAGTATATCCCATAGTAAAAATCAACTGCACTTGCAGCATATTTAGAAAACACCCAGCACTTATATTTAAAATTATAATTTCAACACGCTGCAACTGAAATTTAAAAAAAATCACCAACTTTATAAATCAATTACTTTTAGAATCGAAAAGACACTATCTGAATATTTTCATTAAAAGTACAGTCTTTTATAATTTCATTGAAAAGTCTTTCATTCATTAAACAAAAATATTAACCACCAACAAAATGGGTTTAGGTATCACCAAGTTTGGGAAGTTATTTGATTACTACTGTGTTATATTTATTTGTATCATCTCTGTAACATACCTTTATGGAACAGGTATGAGCAATAAGCTCTGTGGCAAACTGATGATTCTTGTGCAAGAAAACCCAATTATTTGCCCACTTGTAGGTGACTCTACACCAACTATCTGCTCCTCAGTGGCTACAAGTGATTTCAGTGGAAGTGAAGAACTTACACTTAGCGAGTGTGTTTCTCAAAAAAAATCCCATACAATCAGTGATGAAAAAATGGCATCACTGCTGACCCAACGGACTTGAACATACTAAACTGTTCCATGAGATATCTGGAAAATACTGGGTGTTTTGGTTTGTTTTTGTTTTTTTTTTTTTTTTGGTGTTTTTTTTTTTTTGTTTGTTTGGTTGGTTTGGTTTGTTGTTTTTTTTTTTTTTCACTTAAATTATTTTAGTGTCATTAGCACTATTTTCCTGTGCAAAATATCTTTGAAAATACTGGGCCCAAATACACTATGAGGAACATAACAGCATTCCAGGCACTTTTGATCCATCTCATGGCTCATTCTCTTTTGAGCTTCAGGTAAATTCAGGCTAACCACCAAATACAGAAGTAAAAAATAAGCACTAAAAGAGAAGGAAATAATGAGAGGAGAAATGAACAATTGAAACAAGAAGCAAACAAGGAAAGAAGACCAAAGTCTTTTTTTCTTTATATCCCACCTCCTTTCTGCCCAGCCTTTCATTTCTTTGCTATATCTCCACTGTTCAACTGCATCATCACAACTCCACTGCTCAGTTACATCAGTGGAGAAAATACTCAAAAGCTCTTCAGTGCAGAAGCATGATGTTCAGAAGCCAACTGTTGTCAAATTAGCTGTCAGATCTCTTCTAAGCATAAGGAAGTCTCTTTTTCTTAGCTATTCTACAATGTTCTACAAGGGGTTTTTAAATTATTTCGTGAATGTGAATGTTAAAAAGATAATGAACCATTTATAATAGGCTAAACAAGCATAAATTAGTTTGTAAATAAGCAGTTTTTGAAGAAATAATTTTCCCAACTGAAGGTTTGTGGGATTTTTTTTCATATTGAAGTCACTATCATTGGTTTTCACTTACTGCATCTGAAACCAACAGCACTATCTTCATGTGTTAATAATCATGTTAATCAGCATATTAACATGGTACAAACTTCCTAATGTAAAATTCAAAACTTGACAGAAACATGTCAAGACACTACATAGCTTAATGAAGAATGAAACCTACCCAACTCTACAGAAATGCAATTAAATGATCTGGATGGGTTGGAGAATCATACCTAGAAAAGCAGATGGTGAAACTGTGCCATTGCTCCGTGACACCATGACACTAATCCCAGTCTCAACAAATGGTACTGAAAAGTCAACCACTTCAGAGCGCTCTTCATTAATAGTGAGAGACCCCACAGCCATAACTGCACGATGGTATACCACCTGATCCACAAAGAGAAGACACCACCAATATTACTCAGCAGACATTACCTCATTTCTCCAAAATAATTAAAACCAAAAATTGCTAAGTTCTTACTTAAGAGCTCTTTTACCTAACAGAACTTACTTCACCAATCATTCCATTCCACACATTATTGACTTTTTTGCCATGCTTCCCATTAGTCACCAAATACAGGTCATATGTGAACTTGACAGTTTTAGACAACTTCTTCAAGATATCAATGCAGAATCCTTTGCAGCACTTCTTTACATTAGTTCCCTCATTAGTTGAGTTGCTGTCAACAGAGAAGAGAGACATAAACATTTCTACTGGGAAAAACAGAAGAACCACAACAGCAAGATTCAGCATACTGTGAAACAACATTTTGTCATACTTGTGAGTGACCATGTTTTTCTGAATCGATGGAGAAATAATCCACAAGATGCTTTATATGGTGTTTGCAGCTCTTACTAATCATAATGCAGTTTCTTGACAAGAGATAAATAGAAGATAATGGTAGACCTTGTATTACATGCTTTCTGCTGCAGTACCCAGCCTACTGCAATTCACTTCTCCATAAAGGCATACAGTCTCCTCTTACTAATGTCCCTCTTAGGCTTAGATTAAACATTTATTATTTTTACTCCCAAGACATAAGACTACATGTCATTTAGTAATTAGAGAACTTCCCAGCATGTAAGCTATATAAAGGCACAGCAGTTCACTGTACTGAAAATGGATGCTGGACTTTTTTCTTCACTTTGAGAAGGTGAATTTCAGGCCACCTTTGAGTGCAAAGATGAGGGCTTTCCCTTTATTTTTGTCTGAAATGTTCATTTCATGACCTCTAAAACTTTTTTCTATAAGTGTCTTCAGAAGCCAAGGCAATATTTTATGGCCTTTGAAAGAATTCTAAATTAAAATAAAACTAGTTTAGAACTTGACTAAATACAATTACTGTCTTGGTTTGGGCTGAAATAGAGTTAATATTCCTTTTCAGTGACTAGATGAGTGCTGTGTTTTGGATTTAGCTTTGGGTTTGGTATGGGAAGAATGCTGATAGCACACTGGTGTTTTCAGCTGCTACCGAGACTTCAAGGACTCTCCGACTCCCCATGTCCTGCCCGTGCGCAAGGGCACAGGGAGCAGGGAGGGAGCACGGCCACAGCACCTGACCCTAACTGGCCAGTGAAATATTCCATATCATGGAACGTCATGCTCACTGTATAGAGGAGGGGTGGTTGGGAAGGGGCTCTCTCGCTTCCGGGATTGTGACTGGGGGATCTTGGTATCTCGGGGTCGCTGGCCGGGAACGGGCTGGGTATTGGTCAGCGGGTGGTGAGCAATTACGCTGTACATTGCCTGTTTATATATTTCTTTTTTCTTTTTTTTTTTTTCCCCTATCATCGTCATTGTTCTCATTTTATTGCCATTATTAAACTGTTCCTATCTCAGCCTGTGAGTCTCCCTTCACCCCTCGAATTCCCTCCCCTATTCCCAGGTGGGGAGGGGGAAGGGAGGGTGACCAGCTGCGGTGGTTGGTTGCCGACCAGGTCCAAACCACGACAGTTACATAAAAAAAATTACTTCTCTGGACTTCAGGAAGCATGTACACAACCATTTAGCAGTCTCTGGAAATTTTCAGAAACATACATTATATAACCTAACTGCTCAGTAAAAAAATGTTATATTCAGTTCATAAATGTACTTGGTTTGTGCATAGCAGGGGAGGGGGTTACAGTGGTGGCCCCGTGAGAAGCTTCGCCAAGGCCAAGCCAATCAGCAGTGGTGGCTGCACCTCTGCAATAACATATTTAAGAAGGGGAACGTGAGAGGAAGAGTTACAACATCTATGTGAACACCAAGGTCAGTGGAAGTAAGGAGGAGGAAGGAGGGGAGGTGCACTGGTGCACACCCCCCCTGCAGCCCGTCGTGAGATGGCAGAACCACCCCCCTGCCACCCATGGAGGTCACCAGTGGAGCAGATGTCAACCTACAGCCCGTGGAGGAGCCCGCATGTGCAGGTGATCACACCCGAAGGAGGCTGGGACTCTGTGGGAAGCCCCCACTGTTGTAGTTCGGCACTGAGGACTGCAGCGTGGGGGAGGGACCCACACCGGAGCAGTTCGGGAAGAGCTGCAGCCTGCGGGAAGGACTCACATCAGAGAAAGTTCATGGAGGACTGTCCCTCATGAAACGGACCCCACACTGGAGGATAGGAAGAAAGTGAGGAGCCCTCCCGCTGAGGAGAAAGGAGCAGCAGGACTGACTGCAACCTTCCATGCCCTGCCCCCTGCACTGCTGGGAGGGGAGGAGTAAGGAGATCATGAACAAAGCTGAGCCTGGGAGGAAAGGAGGAGTGGGGGGAAGGTGTTTTTAAGATGTAGCAATGCTTCTCAGTGTCCTTCTCTGTTTGGTAAGTGGTGGTGGTGGTGTTAGTATTTGACTTAAAATGAGTCTGTCTTTTGCCCATGATCATAATGAGTGAGCCAACCCTCCCCATCTTTTTCTTGATTCCCAAGTCTTTTGTTGTATTTTTCTCCTTCCCGTTCCTGAGGGGGAAGGGGTTAGCAAGCAGCTGCAGGGAGATCAGTTGCCCTCTGGCCTCAAACCACAGCAATAAATACATAGACTGAAGCACAGAAAGGGTGAAACAGCACTGATAAATGCACAATGAGAAATTTTTCACTGATTTCTAATGACTGCTCCAAATCTATAGAGCAATCAAAGAAGGGGACTTTTCTCTAGATGTTCACAGTGGTATTTGATGCTGGAGTAGTTTATCCTGTACCAAATTTCAGCATAAGCATACATTTTCAATAGGAGACATTGTCAAATTGTTAAAGACTAATTAAAACAGGCATATTTCAACATAACTAGAGACAATTCAAAGAGGACTCGTTAAAATGATCCTATTTTAGAACAAATCTTTCATGTGACTGAGAAGGGCTAATTCTAGCTGATTTTAAATTTATTATAAACTTACTATCTTGTCCTTAATTCAATGTGACTTACATGTATATAACCAGAACCTTTCAACTTATCAAAAATGAAGATATGCAAACAAGAGCATACTGTGTGAGAAATGGAAGAAGAGAGAGGAAATGAAATACAGAAGGAAAAGCAAAGTTAGGAAGCCAGAGGAAAAGAACAGCAATGTATCAGAAAACAATTACACAATGAAAGAATGAATGAAAAAATAGGGGAATATATTTTACACTCAGGAGAAAAAAAAAAAAAAAAAGGAAAGCTGTGTATTTACTTACTTAATTTTGACAAATTTACGACATGGCACAGTGTTTTTTTGGCAGCTTTCCATCAAAGGATCCACATCCTCAACAATGACAAACGGAGCCTCCTCCAGCGTGACAATACTCAAATGGTTATCATCTGGTTCGCTGTCTGCGAAAGAGCTGTACCTTGGCCAGACAGAGTACTTCAGGCTCAGTGAGTTGTTCTCCCATTTCCCCACCTGAAAATTCCAAGATACACAGGCTGCTGATATCCGCTTGCTTGTTTTCAACAAATGACATCTAATATTAAATGTGTTGGGATACAGGTACAGGAAATTACATTGCAGAGACAGTTGTCTTGGTCTTTTGTTATCAAAATTACTTTAGAGCTTTTTAGTAACTGCATGAAGTGAGAAAATGCACTGTGGTAAAGACCAATAAGGTACCATTATTTTAAAAGATAACAGCTTTATAAAGACTAGATGAGGATGACATCAGTTAACACTATGACCTGGCTAAAGCTGCACTGAAATTTGACACGCGTCATTTCCATTTGAACAAGGTCAGGAACCAGACACTCCACTTGTAATGAGGACCAATTTGCAGTAATAAGAAAACAGTTCTCAAGAAAAAAAAAATAGAACCCCAAAAACCCCTACCCCCCCCCACACACACACACACATCAGGCTGATAACCAAAGTACCATAATATCATTTCTGTATCTTCTCAAAAGAGAAGATTCTTCTATCATATTTTGCAAAGCCATTGTGAAAGCCTTTACCTAGGGTTCCATCGCACCTGAATCAGGCCAAACCACGTTTTCAGTAAACACAAATTTAATTGTGCATTATTTTTTCCTTATTAGAAATACTGTATTTTATTGTGCTTTAGTTAATGCCAACTGTTGAGGGACTTTAAGAAAGCACACCCCACTTCACAGTAAAGTTGTCTAATTATTATTATAAAAGATCTTTTCTAAATTAAACTACATTTATTTTCACTTCCAGAACACCAGAAAGGGCATATAATTTAAATATTTTGAAAACTCTAGCATTTTCTTTCTCAGATCATGTTTAACTACTTTGTATCCATAAATCTAATTGCACACTTTATCTAAGTAGTGATGATGGATAATATAGTTGAGCTAGCAATCCACAAAATTTATAACCTACTGCATTTTAATAATTCTTCAGGTGCTTAAGCTAAACATCATCATAAGACTGCTAAAATTTTTTTTTTTTGCAAATAAAACGCTGGGAATTGACAGTACAATGAAAGACTCGGGTCCTAAAAAGAAAACTGGAAGAAAATTGTCACCTACTTTCTATCTTCTAAAGACTTTAAAATGAATCACAAAAAATCCTGAAGAACATGATTTATAACCATTCCTATTTAGGGAAGCATATAACCACATGCCCTTTGCAGTTTCCTTTCCATCCTGTTTATAAGTCAAGATTTTTTGCTGAACTTTAATGTAGGAGGCAGAAATGACAAATCTCTATACACTTAAATTAGGAAATGCAAAATATCTCAAGGGAATTAGGAATTCACACCTAAATTGGTGGGAACCGGGCACAGAATTTATATGTACAGTTCTAGTATGAAATTTAACCAAAACACAGTGGATGAAGCCTTTGTGAGAAAAACTATTTCATCACAGGGAAGCAAATCTATTTAACTCTGAGGCAGTTCCATTGCAAAAATAGCTTAATCATGAAATTATGGTATATAATTGCATTCACAGCAGAGTCTGTGCTGGTTTACATTAGCTTACACACTGTCGTTCATGTTTATGCCCTAACTGAGCCATGAAGTTGGCCATCTGGAATGGGGAGATTTCCAGCCAGCTCAGTACTTCAGTCAAACAGCAAATGTGCCAAGTCATACAATGAATTTCAGAAGTGGAAAACGTGCCCAACCGCCTGCCTATTCCAACCAGCAAGAAGAAACAAAACGTGACTGAGGCTTCATTGCATTTGGGTGTTCAGGACCACAGCAGGGTCAGCACCTGCCTTTCTAAATCCCTGACTACAGGATTCTGGGGCTAGACAGGTCTGCCTGGTCCTGGAGCTCTTCCCTCTGCAAGCCACCCCCTGCACTCACATCACCGTCACACAGACTGACAGGGACACGAGCTGCCCACCACAATGGGAGTTCCTCTGATCCTACCAAAAATGGAACAACTGCTCTGATGCTGTTAAAAGAGGAATCGTGACACTCCTTCATACTTCAACCGGAGTAACCACCATTTTATTGTTCTGAAGAAGATATAACCAGTCATATTTTTAAATGGCTGAATTTGGGGAAATGCTTATTTCTTTTGAGATTCGTATTCATATGGAAGTGTTATATGTTGAGTGAATCTCTAAAGTAAAGTCCAAAATTTTTTATCTGTTGACTTCCACTGATTTATCTCAATATTTATGCCTTATAACCTTATTTAAAAAAAAAAAAAAATTAAGACCTTGCCTCAGGGGTCTTAGGGGCATCCCTACTTTGTCCAAAGAGACCTAATGCTGCAGTCCCAGGGTGTCACAGTAGGCTTTACATGGTGCACAAATCGCATGTCCATTGCACATCTACCCTACTACCACTAGCACAATGAGTAACCCACTGTGTCAGAAAGCACAATGAAAAAAAAAAAAAAAAGTACAAGATAAAGATATCAACATTAAAAAGTACAAGATAAAGATATCAACATCATGAATAATGGTAGAAAAGCAAAAGGCAGAAAAGCTCTGAAAAGCCTCACTTGTGGGCTAAGAATAGCAAATGAGGAAGAGCAGTAATTGGAAAGAGCCTGTAGGTCCCTCCTTTTGTTTGGGAAATGCTTCCATTGTATTTGCCTGTTCTAATTAATAAATGGATAGCACAGGCACTGGACTTGCTCTGCTGCTGGACTCACAAGTGAACAGTTTCCATGTTTATTTGGTATTTTGATTTTAAAATAGCTACACTGTTGAAGATTACATGTTACACTTTATCATAGTATCCCTTTTTTAACAGGGTGAGGTGTTGAAATGACACTGAAAAGCTGTAGAATAAACAAACCCAAACCATGAGCAGGTTCATGTCATAATAAAGAGAATTTATGAAATTGCAGCCATATGTAGGTGTCCTGAAGGATCAGCATTTATGTCACTTATTGAAGTTATCTAGTATTAGATCAAATCAATATCTGTTTTGAATGTCTTTAAAACCTTCAAACACTTAGGGAAAAAAACAACAGGTTACAACAACTATACATGTTCACTGTATTTCAGAGCATTATAAAGAGCTCTGCTTATAAAGCATAAGAATTTGTGTGAAAACCCAAATGGTAAGTCCTTGTTCAACACTGACTGTTATAGTGGCTTACCTAGAACAACAAAGCAAAATATCTGAGTTTAAAAAAGCATGCCAAGTCCTGGTTTCACCTGTGAAGGTCATTATAAATGCTGCAGAATATGAAAAAGTTCATATGTAAAACACAGAAAGTAGCATATGAAAACTTTGGTTGCTGCTCTCAGTAGGAGACATTGGTGATATATGAATAAACCATTTTACAGTGAAATAGTTTACCAACCTGGATAGCTTCAAAATTCAATTGCCTCCAGTGTTTTGCAGCACTCATTTTCAATGTGCTACTTCGTGATCATTATAGCTACTGATGAACTGAACTAAATGTGGCATCCTCCAACCAAGTCCAAGCACCTAGATTTGAGGTAGAAGCGGTTTATGTTTAAATTAGTATGCTTACCTACTAATATTGGTATCCCTGATACAGATATCTTTATGCAACATCAAATGTATTTGAACAGTAGAACACATTAATTTGCAGGTGGAACTACAAACCTCCAATGCAGAACAGTAGTGAACAGTAAATCTACATACTCTTAGCAGAGACCAGAAACAATTTTCCTAGCCAGTCTATCAAAGACTAACAGGTCCACAAAAATAAAACAGTGGTAAACCCATATGTGGGATAGAAACACACTGCCTCTACTGTGGAAATATTATCACTACAGTGAAGAATTACCATTTTTTTTTTTCCATCTGCAGCCTAAAACTTCCTACTTGTACTTGACCAATCTCAAGGGAATTCTTTGTCATCCAGAAGCTTTTTCTTATCTCCTCAGTCTTCAAACCATCACTGCTTGGAAAAGGGTAGCCAAAAGACAACAGGGAGTTAAAATATTTCACAGGCCTGCCAGACTGCCAGAACTATATTTTGATAGGATGGGAGAACTTTTCTGAAGATAATTTCCATTGTCCTAATTTCTTGAAAGGAAACAGTTCAGAAAGTAGGCTTTTTACTGTTCAAAACATAAAACCAACATTTAAAATAGCTTGTAAAAAGAAATAAAGATGTTTTAATAAAGACATTGCACCTATAGTTCTGGACTTGTTATCTAGACGTACATGCTAATTTATCAGAATGTGCAGAGATAAATTTGAGGTGAAAGAATTTCAATTACTCCAATCTATTATTTTGGTTTGGTTTGTTTGGGTTACCAATTAATAGATATTGAAATTCTAGTGATTTTTTCTCTTAAACAGAATGGAAATCTTTCTAAGATTTCAAAATTTTGTGTCGGTCAGGATCATCATTTCCCCTAGCTCCTGGAAGCAAGACTACTGCCCCAGAGAGCTCAGCTGAAAGCACAGCTCATTAACAGTATGCAGCCAGAGACATGTTCCAACTGCGTCAAGAAGAATCTCATGTGTTTGAGTTGGTGTGATAGGCCCATCCATCATTAATTTAAAATTAAACCAATATAAGATAAAATATTTGTACCTGGTGTAGCCACTCTCAAATGACAGGAAATTTGTCTGTAGATGAATCAGGGCAGTTTGCTCAATCTTATCTGCATCCCTTTCCTTACCTATTCCTTTCCTCTTTCCTGGAAGATTAAGAATATTTAAGATTCCTATCGATCCCCATTTTGGTGTAAGACAAAGTCATCTTCACCTGCAACCATTTGCTATTTCAAAATCTTATATGCTGAGGAATCATTTCCTTAGCACCTCTAGGCACACGTAGAACATGGGAAAAATATAGCTGGTTTTGTAAAATGTGTTCTGTAAGATCTCTTTTTCATTTAGGTAACATGACTTTTTTAGAATGACAGCCATTTAATAGAGCATTAAATAACGTACAGGAGGAACATTTGGACTTCTGGTTTATGCAACCTAAAAGATTAAACTACTGAATAATTCAAAGATAGGTCTGAAAACTTGATTTATGCTGCAACCTTAA